CCCCATTACTGTCTCCCAGGACAGCATCTCCAGCTTCACCATTACTGTCTCCCAGGACAGCACCTCCAGCTTCACCATTACTGTCTCCCAGGACAGCACCTCCAGCTTCACCATTACTGTCTCCCAGGACAGCACTATCAGCCCCCCATTTACTGACTACCAGGACATCATCTCCAGCCTTACAGTTTCTGACTACATGGCCAGTATCAAGGGCAGTACCATTCAGCCCAGACTTTTTATGTTCCCATCTGTTGTAGAAAGCTTCCAGGTTTTCTATGAAAGCAGCTTTGATGTTGACCTCTTTTAATACCCTTGTGATTTTAGTCCACATTTTATCTCATTTGGGCATACCCAAAAACACTTCCCTGTTTTAATACTGCTTGTAGCTAGTTCTTGGATATCTGCACAAGGGGCCGTGACACCAATTTTCCACAAAAATGACAATTTATGCATGTGGAAGCCCGTTTGTTTGACTGACCACAGACTACACACAGCTTCATAATGATTTGAATGGTTGATTTACTGCAATTCTACTACAACCTCTTGAATATTCTATTAATAACCTGCTAGGTAGTGCACAACGAAACCGTTTGAAACCAGTCCAGGGTTCGGACCAGTCAAGGGTTCGGACCAGTCTATCTGATCTGATCAGTGGGTCACTTATTTAAACCATACTGGTCGGTGATTTGAGCTAACACATGAAGGATCTACTGGAAATTATCTACCCGAGTAATATGTGATTTGATTGATACAAAAGTATAACTTGCGTGTTGAAGAGCCGGTGACTGCTGGCAACTCCTACAGTGACGAACAGTCGACCTCCACCCTTGTTTATCAATCGGTGTATCTAGCTTTTCTATTTTTTCCGTCTCCACCACAATAAATGCTATATTATCACTATAGTTGACTGGTGAAAATTTTGGAGGAAGGACGCTTTTTCTGGAGTAATAATTGCTTCTCGTTGTGTATATTGCGACCGCTGGTAGCTACAGGTTATATGAAATTCACAGTATATGTCTGGTATTTCAAGAAAAAAGAAACTAATGAAAGTCACTCCACTCCACTAAGTACCATTATAATACTGGTTAGTTGCTACTACAACACTGTATTCTGCTATTCACTGGTATCACTAGACTATATGCGAGTACACTAGCAGGCCAGGAAGATTATTAAAAACAGCTGACCTGTGGTAAGTTTCTGGCGACTTCTGGCACCTGCCTCTATAGGCTTATCACTTCATTTACAAATTCACCTTTTTTTCAAATGACACTTTAGCCTTTATCATCAATATACTAGGGAGCCACTGTAGTATACACTATACACTATGTATACTCAATGTTTTCAGGGAGACTTTCTTTCCTCTGACACAAAGTTCAATTATTATTATTTTTTCACACGGGACACAGGCCTATGATTCCCCTCTGGCAGTAAACTCTGCTAGGTAGTGCACACTAATTCTCCTTTTTTGACTCAGTATATAATGTTTTCCGCCCAAGATTGGTTCCAGGCGCTAGAGGGATGTATCGTATAGGATTGATGACACAAATTAAAGTTCTAGCACGTAAGAGCCACCGTGAAAACACCAGAAAACCCGAAGCACAACGAGGCACGCTGACACTGTCACGCTACACGTAAGGTCGTTGCACTTAATATGCTTAATTATACATAACTTCATGAAATTTTCAAGAATATTTATATAATGCACCTACTGTATAACTAGTTTAAAATAAGTTTAATAATAATAATATTAATAATAATATCTTTATTTCTACAAGTACATGTACAAGGTATACAGGCCTATTTGATACCAACGACATACTACTAGTATGTACATATAAAAAGCCGCTTGTTATGCAGAGCATATTGGGCAAATTAGGTCAATTTTGTCTCAGGATGTGACCCACACCAGTCGGCTAATACCCAGGTACCCATTTTATACTGATGGGTGAACATGGACGTTAGGTGTCTTATGGAAACACGTCATAATGTTTTCCAGCTGTATCAGGGATTTGAACTCCAGACCTCAGTGTGAAAGCCGATGCGCTAGTGATCGAGCTCACTAAAATGCCTCACATAACTGGGTTTTCCACGTAATATATAATAAGCAATAAACCCCAACCACACCAGCAGGCAGTGACTAATTCTGGCCTTGTAAGTCACTTATTAATGTCCTGGGTATTCGTAACAAACAAATGTAATAATTGTGAGTGCCAGAGTTTGACCCTGCATTCTAGCAATAATAGAATTACTCACATAATGTCTTAGCTCACTGCACCACAGAAAGTTATATAAGGTTTCATCAACCAGAATCCTGGCAAGGTCTGTGAATGGCCACTAACTGGGCCTCTATCACACATTTTCCCATAAAAATGTAACAGGAGGCCCTACTTAATGGCTGGTCACAGGATAATTTTCCTAATCAATTCTTATAATGTGGTAATTATTTCTTCCTTTTTCCTCCTATCATTTAGACAATGTCTAATGCCATTAGCCTGACTTCTTAACAAGTATCTTTCAATGTTTCAATATTTGTGCTACAGAGGGAACCACACACCAGTTCAATCAAATTACTAGCTACTCTCATTCTCCTAAATTAAATTCTCAGCCTTTCATACACAGCTACCTACTGGGTAGCAACCCTTTGAATAATACAATATAAAGATAATGAACAAACTCTGAAGCTTGCATCAGAAGGATCTTTAATCTTATCAACACTGAAACAATTCATTCAACAAGAAACTCCTCTTTACTGTAGGTTAAGTAAATCTTTGATGGCAAGACTAATACATAGAAATAATATTTATACAATTTTTGAATCATATTTCTAGTAGTGAATCCTCAATCTTTTCACAGCTTCAGTCATCTTAACTTTAAAGAAATATAATAGCCTTTTTAGGGGTATCCTGATAAATTGCTAGATGAAAGAACAGCCTATCCTTACTCAGTGAGTGAGGAGCTATTTTTTATTTGTGTCACATTTTAATGGCAACACACTGCTGCCAATAGTATCCCTTGTTTATGGACCTATCTTAATTATTTTAGTGTGCCTCCTCTCTGACTGCATAAATTTCCTCCATCAGTATTCTTTCTCTTCAGCTTTTCCCCCAAATCTTCTGAATGTTTCCTCAACCTTCACTACCTACTTCTCAATTATCCTGTTCCTCATTCCTTATCTTTTTTTTTTCAGACCTAAAAAAATGGTGTATAATAACTTATCTGTACCTACAGTAGCAGAGCTAATTTCATAACATTCCATTTTTATATTAATTATCTTAAACAGTTTTAAGTTTCTGGTGGTAATAGAACCACCTCATCTTTTAGCTCATGCTCCTGTTCAACCTCAGCCTGAAAAATAAGTTTCTAATATCCTCCTAGCACATCGTCTTTCGTAGTTTATAACTATGGTCTCTTGTTCTCCCTGTGATGATGTTTGTAAACCTTCCTTATTAATTCTTTCATCGTCATTCATAATCTTGTGTTTCATCATGTCTCCTTGTTTAATCCCATTAGTCAGATAGGGCATGTCTACTGCCTTCAGCCTTTCTTCAGAACTCATAAAAATTTTGATCTTTGTAAGTCATTTTATAACTTTTTTCCAATTTTGTCTACCACATGAACAAAAAGCATTTTTAGCATTTCCCTATCCATATATCTTAAATTTTTTTTAAGGATGTTAAATGTTGCATATTAGTTTCTAATGATTTCATTAGTATTAATAAAACATGAGTTAAACATTATGTCAGTTGCATGAACCACGTATTCTTTTATGTTGCATCTTCATCTCTTATGCATTAATAAACTGTCCACTGAGGACAGTGTATAGACAAGTGAATCTGAATTTGATGGCTGAGGTATTCTTAAAAGTACACTGATCATTAACATGATAAAAATTTAAGGTGTCAAAGAGACACGGTGGGAAAGAAAAAGAAAGGGACGAGGGAGAAAAAGGGAAGGGGAGGTGGAAGAAGGGAGAAGAGGGGGAAGGGGGGTGGAAAAGAGGAGGCAAAAAAAGATTGGGGGAGGAAGGGGAAAAAGAGGAAGAGGGGGGGATATACTGTAGATGTTTTCACCAATCTGGATGAACAAACATCTTGTTCTCTAATGTCCTCTACATTAATCATTATGCATAATTAAGAATAATCTATGTTAAATGTAATATCAAACATAAGTAAAAGGAAATACAATAAAGAACTTTGTCTTGAGGGATCCATAACTTTGCATATATAATAAATGACGTGCTCAAATTTAAAAAATTTTGGTACAAAGTCCTTTTTATATTACCTTCAATTCTAACTTTCACTTAGATTTTATGAATACTAGTTCTATTTCTACACACCATGCCAGACTCTACAATTTTTTTTATGCATATCTGAATGCAAACTAACAAATTCATCAATAGACTAGTGAGCATGTTTAACAAGCTTAATTAATGAGCTTGCGCTAACAGCCTGATTTTAAATTGGTCAAGCACAAAGCATAGTACCCTCACAGTCATAAACTAATTAATATAAAAAAAAACATGCAGATACTCATAATAATACCATGATGCAATAAACTATTACTAATTTGAATCCTTTTAACCTAATAAATAAAAATATTTAGTTCCATCAGCAAAATAACAGATTTTCCAGCACTAAGATTATCAATGTTACAATTGTTCATTGTTCTTGATGGCAGGAAAGGAGCATGTTATCAGCATTCAGCATCTCATGTGAACAAAGTTGAAACAATTATTACCTAAAAAAAAAAAAAAAAAAAAAAAAAAAAAAAAAAAAAAAAAAAAAAAAAAGCATATACAAGAGGAGCTATAAGCTGCCCCATGTTATAATAGATAATGTAAAAGCATGACAGAAGATAGGAGGAGGGGCAAGGCTGGCATTATCAAAAGGGTTACTGAGGTATTTTATTCTATAACTACAGGATGAGGCAGAGTACAGTCCATTACACGCACAAGACAATAGACACTTAACAAAAAAGGTAGATTAAATGATAGAACAAACCCAATCCGGTGGGTTCTCTTGCTGTAGCATTTGTAGTTGAGACCAAAGATGAGAATGAAGCATGAAAAAGAAAATGGCATGGAAAAGTCTCACACGATGGAATGAAGTGGAATTACAAGGTAGAACAGGGAAAAGCTTGGCAAGCATTTCATCCCGTCCTGATGGTTTAGCTGACACAAAAATAAATTTAAGGATGGATATGTTTGTTATAGTTGGTTACAGATACTGTATGGTATTATCAAATTTTAACATACATGCCTTGAGGTGCCAGAGTTCAGTATTTCCTTACTTTTATCATAAAATTCAGTAATATTAAAAATTCAGCTATTAACAAAATAAACATACTTAATATATCATCTCAATAACCCAACTGACAAGATTTAGGGAAAAAATAATTAAGAATATTACAAAAACAGTGGAAAAAGTATAAGGCATAATTATTACTTAAAACAAAATTAGTCTATCATTATTGATATCAAGAGACAAGTTTACATACATCAGTCATAACAACTACACACAGTTCTTCCCACAGGGAATGAGCACTATTTTCAAATGTTTTTGACAGGAAAGCACAGAATTTCCCCCCACACGATAGCAATGCAAGTTTCAATAGCAGCAACACTGAGCTAAACTTCATTGTATCATGAATTAATAAAATTCTACATGATATTACACAAGAATGAGTTAAACTTCATTAAAATTAATTAAACCAGAATCTTCTGAGAGTATCTGAAGCAGCTAAATTATAAGCCAAGTACAATGAGGTGAAATTTCTCAAGAATTATTTTTTTTTTTCAACAAGTCGACTGTCTCCCACCGAGGCAGAGTGACCCAAAAAAAAAGAAAGAAAATCCCCAAAAAGAAACCACTTTCATCATCATTCAACACTTTCACCTCACTCATACATAATCACTATTATTTTGCAGAGGCACCCAGATACAACAGTTTAGAAACATATATAAGGATATATAAAATATCCCTCCAAACTGCCAGTATCCCAAACCCCTCCTTTAAAGTGCAGACATTGCACTTCCTACTTCCAGTACTCAAGTCCAGTTATATAAAAATCACCAGTTTCCCTGAATCCCTTCACTAAATATTACCCTGCTCACACTCCAACAGCTCGTCAGGTCCCAAAAACCATTCGTCTCCATTCACTCATATCTAACATGCTCACGCATGTTTGATGTAAGTCCAAGCTCCTCGCCCACAGAACCTCCTTTACCCCCTCCCTCCAACCTTTTTGAGGATGACCCCTAACCCGCCTTCCTTCCCTTACAGATTTATATGCTCTCCATGTTATTCTACTTCGATCCATTCTCCCTAAATGACCAAACCACCTCAACAACCCCTCTTCAGCCCTCTGACTAATACTTTTATTAGCTCCACACCTTCTTCTAATTTCCACACTCTGAATTCTCTGCATAATATTTACACGACACATTGCCCTTAGACAGGACATCACTGCCTCCAACCACCTCCTCGCTGCAGCATTTACAACCCAAGCTTCACACCCATATAAGAGAGTTGGTACCACTATACTGTCATACATTTCCTTCTTTGCCTCCATAGATATTTTTTTTGTCTCCACATATACCTCAGTGCACCATTCACCTTTTTTCCTTCATCAATTCTATGGTTAACCTCATCCTTCATAAACCATCCGCTGACATGTCAACTCACAAATATCTGAAAGCATTCACTTATTCCATACTCCCTCTCTCCAATGTGACATCCAATTTTTCTTTATCTAAATAATTTGATACCCTCATCACCTTACTCTTATCTATGTTTACCTTCAACTTTCCACCTTTACACACCCTCTCAAACTCGTTCACTAACCCTTGAAACTTTTCTTTAGAATCTCCCATAAGCACAGTATCATCAGCAAAAAGTTACTGTGTTAACTCCTATTTTGTATTTAATTACCCATAATTTAATCCCACCCTCTCCCCAACACCCTAGCATTTACTTCCTTTACAACCCCATCTATAAATATTTAAACAACCATGGTGACATTACACGTTCTTGTTTAAGACCTACTTTTACCGGGAAGTAATCTCCCTCTCTAATACACACCCTCACATGATCATGACAGAAATGTTAAAAGCACAGGGGGGTATAGTATTGGAGTGGTTGGTATTTTTGTTTAATAAATGCATGAAAGAGGGGAAGGTACCTAGGGACTGGCAGAGAGAATGTATAGTTCCTTTATATAGAGGGAAGGGGAACAAAAGAGATTATAAAAATTATAGGGGAATAAGTTTACTGAGTATCCCAGGTAAAGTGTACAGTAGGGTTATTATTGAAAGAATTAGAGGTGAGACAGAGAGAAGGATTGCAGTATTTAGATAAAGGTAGGGATGTTTTCAGTGCATATATAGATTTAGAAAAGGCATATGATAGAGTGGTTAGGGGAGCAATGTGGCAGATGTTGCAAGTGTATGGAGTAGGTAGTAAGTTACTAAATATTGTAAAGTTTTTAATGAGGATAGTGAGGCTCAGGTTAGGGTGTGTAGGAGAGAGGGAGATTACTTCCCAGTAAAAGTAGGTCTTAGACAAGGATGTGTAATGTTACCATGGTTGTTTAATATATTTATAGATGGGGTTGTGAAAGAGGTAAATGCTAGTGTGTTGGAGAGAGGGGTGGGATTAAATTATGGGGAATCAAGTACAAAATGAGAGTTGACACAGTTACTTTTTGCTGATGATACTGTGCTTATGGGAGATTCTAAAGAAAAATTGCCAAGGTTAGTGGACAAGTGTGTGTAGAGGTAGAAAGTTGAAAGTGAACATAGATAAGAGTAAGGTGATGAGGGTATCAAACGATATAGATAAAGAAAAATTGGGAATCACACTGGAAGAAGTGAATGTTTTCAGATACAGTGGACCCCCGCATAACGATCACCTCCGAATGCGACCAATTATGTAAGTGTATTTATGTAAGTGCGTTTGTACATGTATGTTTGGGGGTCTGAAATGGACTAATCTACTTCACAATATTCCTTATGGGAACAAATTCGGTCAGTACTGGCACCTGAACATACTTCTGGAGTGAAAAAATATCGTTAACCGGGGGTCCACTGTATTTGGGAATTGAGGAACGAAAAAAGGTGAGTGTTGCATTAAGGTATTTGTGGATACAAAAAATGTTATCTATGGAGGGAAAAAAGGGAATGTATGAAAGTATAGTGGTACCAACACTCTTATGTGGGTGTGAAGTTTGCGTTGAAAATGCTGCAGCAAGGAGGTGGCTGGAGGCAGTTATGTCCTGTCTAAGGGCAATGTGGGGTGTAAATATTATGCAGAGAATTCAGAGTGTGGAAATTAGGAGGTGTGGGGTTAATAAAAGTATTAGTCAGAGGGCTGAAGAGGGGTTGTTGAGGTGGTTTGGTCATTTCGAGAGAATGGATGAAAGTAGAATGACTTGGAGAGCGTATAAATCTGTAGGGGAAGGAAGGCAGGGTAGGGGTCATCCTCGAAAAGGTTGGAGGGAGGGGGTAGAGGAGGCTTTGTGGGCAAGGGACTTGGACTTCCAGCAAGCATGTGTGCACGTGTCAGATAGGAGTGAATGGAGACGAATAGCTTTTGGGACCTGATAGAGCTGTTGGAGTGTGAGCAGGGTAATATCTAGTGAAGGGATTCGGGGAAACTGGTGATTTTTATATAGCCGGACTTGAGTACTGGAAATGGGAAGTACAATGCTTGCACTTTAAAAGAGGGGTTTGGGATATTGGCAGTTTGGAGGGATATGTTATATATCTTTATATATGCTTCTAAACTGTTGTATCTAGGCACCTCTGCAAAGACAGTGATTATGTATGAGTGAGGTGAAAGTGTTGAATAATAATGGAAGTATTTTCTGTTTGGGGATTTTCTTTCTTCATGGGTTACCCTGCCTCGGTGGGAAATGGCTGACTTGTTGAAAAAAAAAAAAAACGATTATAATCACCTGAATTTTCTTGAGTGATAAAAGTAATAATTTGAAGGTACATAGTACTGTGGTACAAACTAGAAACAAAATAGATTTTTATTTTAATATTATTGAGAGAAAACAATTTTAACAATAGCTGTAACTAAATACTGAGCATCTTTTTAATTTTACCTGCCTCAGACAGGTCTGCCTAAGGAGTAAACCTGGAGCAGAATTATATTTAAGTTTGATCTAACAAGAATCACAATTTTTTAATTAATAAATGGGACACATTCTGTTTGAAGGATAAAGCATTAAACCTCTTTCAACCATTAAATGTACAATGTTTACCAATTTACATTAGGTCACCAGTGGAACTGGTATGATTGAAATTGAATCTGAATTGTTTATTTCTCTGTAAAGATTACAATATGGGGTTTACATATTATAATAGACATGTATGGTAAAAGTCAAGTATACACTGATCAAGACATTTATTAGGAAGCCATTCTGTCACAAGTGGCTTCTTGACTTATGTCAAATGATTCCCCAGAAAATATCTTGATCAGTTCATGCAAGTTTTTTACCTATATTGGGCCACCACATATTACCATAGATTGGAAGTTAGATCCTGCTGGGTTTAGGTAAACTTGGATTATCTCAGAATTTGGAGGTGTTGAAGGATGTTTTTAAGGGTGTTAACCCCTTGACTGTCGCAACCCCCAATCCTGAGGCGTCTCCTGGTGTCTCAAAAAAAAAAAAAAAAAAAAAAAAAAAAAAATCTTATGAAATGATAGAGAATCTTTTTCCGATTGTAATGACACAAAAAAAACGAAATTTGATGGGAAACTGACGGAATTATGCTCTCGCAAAGTTAGCGACCTTGGCGATATTTACAAATCGGAGCTTTCGCCCACTTTCAGCCCTATTTTCGGCTAATTCCATTGTTCCAGTCGACCAAACTCATAGCTATTTCTTTAGAACTCCATTTTTTCTATCGATTGAGCACAAAAACTGCCCATTTACCGATTTCAACTACCCAATAACATGGTCAGAAATTTGCAATTTGGCCAATTTCACGAAAATTAAAAAATATGACAATTTCAAA